CCACCTGGAGCCCAGAGCAGCGGTCCTCAATGCCTAGCATCAGAAGCACCGTGAGAACGTGCTTCAGAGATCGCTGGCACCCGCCTGCGGAGTCTGGGGCTGGCTCGGCAGGCCAGGAGAGGGCCTCACCTGTACATTTCTAGCAGGGTCCCATACCCCATGGACACTGTGAGCCTGGACCACACTTTTGAAAGTTACATGGAACCTTCCGGTCACCTGGCAGGTGACTGCTCAGCTCCTCTCCTGGAGCCCCTTCTGTGCTTCCCCCTCAGCCTCGGTCTCCTCATCTGGAACGAGGGGCCAGGGGCGAGCCGGCTGCCGCTGCCGAGCTCAGGCACAGCTGCCGGGTGTGTGAGGAACTGGGCTAAAGACAGTGATTATCATTCAACAGTAGATTAAATAACTTCATGTTTTAAAATATTTGTTCATTTGAATGGAATTGCGTTTATTAAAATTCCTGCTCCTTCCAGAGCTGAGTGGGAATGAACTGCCTCCTGGCTGCCTGCGCGCTCTGCTTTCTCTGTGAATCACCGGCTCCTGCCCTCGGTGGCACTCACCTGGGACTCCTCGGCCTCCTGGCCGCCATCAGAGCACGGAGAGCAAACCCGGCGCGTTGGCTGCGTTGGCTGGGGCTGCTGGCCTCTCTGCAAGGCCCATGTTTCTGGCTTCCCGAGAAGCAAAGCCACCTGACTTTCCAATCCTCGGGTCCTCCCACCTTTAAACCTAGGCGACGACCCTTCTCCAGAAGGTGACGAGCCAAAGCCCTGGGTTCCTGCCCTGGGTGTGGTGAGGGGAAGATTCTCCTGGTGACACACCCAAGCCCTCTGGTCGCCACACGGGCACCGGCAGGAACCGGGGGCCTCTGGGCTCTGCCAGCCACCCCCTCCCCACCCTCAGCTCTGCCCCGCACATCTGCAAGGGTCCTCTCCAGAGAGGCACAGGGCTGGCCAGAGCCGGAGGGGACCCCCTGCAGGGTCAAGTTGTCCATCACCAGCTGGGGACAAGGATGGCCACAGGCACAGGAACGGGCCACCAGCCGCAGACAAGTCCCAGGTCAAAGGGAGGACTGAACAGCTCCCCACCCACCAGGCCACGTGCACTCAAGAGTGGGGCTGGGTGTCACGCAGGTTCTGCTCCAGGGCGGTGGCCGGCACCCCACAGCCATTGCCTCTACTAGGACCGAAACACCCAGCACTCAGGGCCTCAAGTCCCCAGGGGTCGGCGGAAATGTGCCCCAGGGGCTCCAGGCTCAGAGGGAAACCCAGGCTCTCCAGCTGCCGCTCAGCACAACGGCCCTGCAGGGGGCAGTGCCAGGGCCAGAAGGGGCCAGGCTGGTCCCTGACTCCCCTGGACTCCCCCTGGGCAGGGCCCCTCCCGCTGCAGACCCTGCCCCTGCCCCGTGGATCCTGCCGCCTCCTGCCCTGCTGGGGCCTCATCTCCATGACAATCAGCCACCAGGAAGCCCCCTCTGCTGGCCCTGCCACCCCAGGGGGCCTGGTTCTTCAAAAAGCCTTTCAAGAAACTGTCCTCGCAGGAGGCAGCCGGGAAGCACCAGGGACATGAGCTGGCATTAAGGAAGGTGACCGTGACCGTAGAGGGGGAGGTGAGGACACCGGGCTGAGAGACCGGGAGGGGAGGAGGGAAACTGAGGCCGCCAGGACGGGGCTGTTCCCAAGCAGGTCCTCTCCAGACCCTGCAGGCCGCGTCTCTGCTGAGCACCCCTTTACAGATAGAGGAACGAGGGCCTGGGGTTCAGGTCTCCCAGCTGCAGTGGACCCCCTCCCCACCCAACCTTCCCGGCTCCCCAGGTCCCCTGGGACAGGGAAGCCCCCAGCTGGCTTCAAGGCTTCAAGGCCCTAGGAGAAGGCGGCGGCCACCGCCCAGGCTCCTCTCCAGCCCCAGGCTCCAAGCATTTGCTCAGAAACGTCCCCCCCCCTCCCCTCTTCATTCGCCCTTTGTGTGCCTGGGTGCCGGGCTTCGGGGACCCAGGGACACCCAAAGCAAGGGCCACTCCTTCCACACTCGCCAACCCCATGGCCAGCAGGGGCTCCAACAGGGAGAACCAGGGCCAGGGTGGACCCTGCCTACCCGCCACGGGCCTGTCCTCAGCTCCTGGAGGCTGTGGGGCAGGTGCTGGCCATGCTCCGCGGCTCCCCGCGGGTCCCCAACTCGGGGCATCTATTTCCAGCCTGGCCAGCGCCTCCGGGCCAGACAGCGTCCCAACCTGCAGCCCAGCCTCCGCCGGGCCCTCCTTCACCCCGACAGCCCACAGCCAGCGACTAGGCTGCCGTGGACAGAATGACAATGAGGCTCAGGAGCCCAGGACCCCCCAGCCCATCTGGGACCTAAGGCTGGGGCGGGGCGGGCGGTCCAGGAGGGCAGGGGCCGGGGAGAGGGGGCAGGGGGCAGAACAGGGGCAGGCGCCCTGGGCCAGGGCTGGGCAGGGACCACACCAGGTTAGATTAGATGAGCTGGGCAGGGTCAGGACGGAAGTCACCAGGGCAGGAAGAGACAGCTGGGGCGTCCCCCACCAGGGAGAGGAGGAGGGCGTCCCCCACCAGGGGAGGGGAGGAGGGCGTCCCTGACCAGGGGAGGGGGGGAGGAAGACGAGCCCCTGCCCTGCCTCAACCTTCTCCTTTGGCAGGGGGACCACCATGGCCAGAGAGGTCCAGGGCCTCGCCCTGGTGGCGCCCACCCTAGGAGCCTCCGTCCAGACCCACACGGGGAGCCGGAGGGAAGGGTGTGGCCGGGCAGGTGAGGAGGCCGAGGAACATCGTGGGCATCCGCGGGCTGTGTGGAGACCTTGCCACCCTCCTCACCCAGCCCACGCCCCGGGTGGAGGGCACCCCACGCTGTGCCCTGCTCACAGGCCTCTGCCTGTAGCCAGTGCCCTTCGGGGACAGGCTTCCCCGCCCGTCCCCCTTTCCCTTCCCAAGCCGTCCAGGGCTCCTCCAGCCTCAGCCCAGCCCTGACCTCCTCAGCAATGACCCTTCACCTTCGGAGCCTGAGGCCACTGGGGTCACACTCTGGTGTGCTGGGTACCTGCTCTGCCCCTGCAATGCGCTAAGTCCTTGGAGACCAGAGACCCTTCCTGGTTAAGCTCCCAGGCTTGGGGTGTGGCTGGGCCCTGGTGAAGTCCCCGTGACTAATTGTCACATAGTAGGTGCTTTACGAATGCTAGTCCCCTCCTCCTGGGCTGTTGGGAGGTCTGACGTGCACACAGCAGGCCCCCAGCAGGCTCCAGGGCTGAGCTCAGGTGACCTTCCGGTCCCCAAGATCCCCTCACCCTGAGGGAGACACAGGTGTGGCCCACTGCCTGGGCCTCTGGGCACAAGCCCTGCAGCCCTGGAGCTCAGAGAAAGGCCCATTGCTGATTCCCCTTGAGTCTGCAGCTCGGGCAATCAATCGGTCGCCATGGAAACCTGCCTGGAATCAGAGGCAGGCACTTCTTGGCTAAGCCAGCGCCACCTACCCACCCACTCAGGCTTGGCTGTGCAGGTCCCCCACCTAGGGGGGGGGGAGGGGAGGAGGGGAGGGGGCAGGGGAGGAGGAGCTCCGCATAACCTAGAGTATCAGCCACCTCCCCAGGCCCTGAGGTCCCCAAAGACCCTGGTACTTTCTTGGGGGGAAATGACCACGAGGGATCGCTGACCACTGGGCTGTAGGAAAGCTGAGGCCCAGCCGTAGAGCGAGGGGCAAAGCCCGGCACAGGCTCCACTGAGACCCCACTGGCCGCTCCCCGCTCGCTGGCTGGGGAGGGGGCTGGGGCGTCCTGGCCGGCTGGGCCGCACCTGCTTCCCACTCGGTCTGCGCCTGGCACTCCCCATACCACTCGCTCAGGCCGACCAGGGGCCATTAGCCAAGATCTAGGCCTGTCTCCCTCCCGCCACCCACGCCCAGCTGCAGCCGCCAGCCGCCCGCCCGCGCTGCCAGCCAGGACTGGCGGGGCCCTGGCTCTGAGTCCCAGGCCCCGGGCCAACAGCTCCCTCCTCCTGGGAGCCTGAGCCCCCAGGGACCTCCCTGCACCTCGGTTTCTGTCCAGTGAGGGTGGGGAGCCCTCGGAGGGTTGGACCCCTCTGGGCACCCAGAGCTGAGGCTCCCCGGGGCCACCCACCCCCGGGAGCCCGGGCCAATGGTCAGGCGGGCGGGAACCAGTGAGGCCCCGCTGCTGGGAGGGTGCTCCCAACCCAGGCCTGCTGGTGGTGACCTGCCAGCTCCAGCTCAGCCTGTCACCCTGTGCCACCGCCGCCCAGCTCTTCCAGGTGCTCAGTGCTGAGCGCCTGCTGTGTACCTGGCCCTCCAATACCCACCCTCCGCGCCTTCCCCACTCCCCCGAGCTGGGCCAGGGAGTCAAGGCTGCCACAGGCTGCGGACACGGCCTGGCTGGGGTGGAGCAGAGGCTTCTAGAAGGAAGGAGATGGCCCCGCGGTCACCCCTGCTGCCCAGGGGGCATCCGGCCGGTGGCCTGGGCCCAGCTCGGCAGGTCAGTGGTCTCAGCCCTGCCCCAGCTAATTCCAGCTTCCTGATCCATGACTGAGCACCTACTATGTGCCAGACACTGATAGCCCAGGTCCCCTGCGGGACTGTCCCCTCTAGAGACGAGGAGGAGGAAGCACCCAGAATTAAGGGGTCTCTCAAGGTCACACAGCTGGTAAACTGCAGAACCAAGGTTGGACCTCCAACGTGGGAGACGGCAAGGGCAACCCAAAGGAGGACCCTGGGGCTCCCTGCGGGGTCGGCCTCCTCCACAGACTCTCCCCGGCCTCCCCCCCAGCCTCCTCCCCGGCCTCCTCGCTCCAGCTACTCCTGCACCCCGCTTCTCTCCTCCAGAGAACCAATCAGGCATCAGATCACAGGTTCCTCTGGCCCCGGGAAGCGGAGGGGTGGGCCTGGGACCCCTGGCAGGAAGCAGGACCCCTAATGAGCCCACCAGCCCGCGCCCGGCCGGCACGGTGCCCCTGAGCGCTGTCCCCGTGACTCAGCACTAACTGCCGCCACACTCGCAAATTGAGGACTTTAATTTCCCAAAATGAAAAGCACATTTCAGTCAGCTCCTCTGGACTCAGTCCTCGACACCAGGACCAAGAGTCACCAGCCCCAGGAGAGGGACAGGCCCGGCCCAGGCCTGGGGCTGCCCTCCCACACCCCGTCCCTCCTCGGCAGTGGCTGAGGGGCGTCCAAGAGACCCGGGCCCCAGGGACTGTGGGCCAGAGGCAGGGCCCCGCGGCCTGCGCCCATCAGTCCCCAGCCCAGGCCACTGTGCGATCCCCAGTCCCTCAACGCTCCAGCAGAAAGAGGGGCCAGAGGCCAGACATCGGGGTTCACGTCCAGCTCCGGAAGTCTCCCCTCGCTGGGTCTCGGGGTCCTCACTGTCCCAGAAGCAGCACGGAGAGGGACCCAGCGTGGATGGTGGATGGTGTGCGCTTAGCAGACACAGGTCCGGAGCACGGCTGACCCCTTGGAGGTCTGGCTGTCACCCGGTCTGAGGAGGGTCTGGCTGTCACCCGGTCTCAGGAGGGGCTGGAACGGGCACCTTTTAAAAGCCTCTCCACAGGAGTCTAACACACAGCCTGCCAGACTAGCTGACAGGTGTGGGTGTGGGCCCAGAGAGGGTGTTTAACCCAGGGATGCACAGCAAGTTGGAGGGCAGGCCAGACGATGGTGGACAGCCCTTCTGCTTTGGGCTGTTGCAGAGAAGCAGGTGAAGACAGAGTTGGGCACTGTGTGTGCCTACAGCCCCAGCTACTGTGGAGGCTGACGCGGGAGGACAGCTTGAGCCCAAGGGCTCCACTCTGAGCCACATAGAGGTGACAGCCTCTGTCATGGGAAGGTACTAGAAGGTCTGGGATCAAGAACGTCCACCCGAGACCTCCCGCCCCTCCAGTGCTGGAAGTGGACCTTGAGCTTCCCTAAATATTAAGGGGGCTGGGGGCTGCCAGGAGTCTCTCCAAGGTCCATTCTGGCCTCAGGGTCCTCGAGCCTCGTCAGCTGGAATCATAACAAATACTAACAGCAGACACGCGGGGACCGAGGGATGGGACCCAGAGGCACTCTGCCATGGAGCTGCATCTCAGTCTTCTATGTTTTATTTTGAGACAGGGTTTTGCAAAATCTGAGGCTGGCCTCAAACTTGTGATCCTCCTGCCTCAGCCTCCCAGTAGCTGGGATCACAGGCCTGCGACACCACACCTGACCATTTACTGAAATTCTAAGTCGGGGACCTCTCTCCGACCCACCTTCCTCCTAGGGGTTCTCATTCTGCTCCATCCCGCTTACAAACACCCCCGAGAATACAGCAGAGAGAAGTGGTTCTGCTGGGATTTGAACCCAAGGCCGATGGTGGAGGCCACGCTGTAGGACCCGGCGGTGCGCAGGGGACCCGGAGAGGTGCGGGGCTGGGTGTGGGGTGCCAGGCCCCGCGGGGGTTCGGCACAGCTCGCCCCAGCCCACCTGTGTCGTCTGCCTGGGAGCCGCGCTGGGCGGGTGGGAAGGACCGTCCCCTCCCAGCTGACCCCGCCCCGCGTCCCTCATTACTGCAATGGTCAGCGCGGGGCACCTCTTGGCCCGGCTGTGTGACTTCTGACTGGTGTCTTAACCTCTCTGAACTTTGACAGTGTCCTGTATAAAATAAATTCAGGTAAGGGAAAAAATCCGGAGACCTGGGTGATGGATCGCCCACCTAGGTGGGTTGAGGAAGAGGAAGTGGGTGGGTCCACGTTAGCTTTTCGGTGCTTGCTCCTCCCCTTGGAAGAAAGCGGCTGCCTGGCGAGGGAGGGGTCTCCGTGTGGCTCCCTGGCACCTGCTCAGGTTGAAGTGAGAACCGCGTTAGTGACCCCAGGGAGCAGAGAAAACCAACAGAAAGGGTCTGAACTTTAACAACAAGACAGCACCTGGCGGCAGCGGGACGCTGCTCCCCGACCCCACCTGGGCCGCCCCTCCCCCACCCCACCTGGGCCGCCCCTCCCCCACCCCACCTGGGCCGCCCCTCCCCCACCCCACCTGGGCCGCCCCTCCCCCACCCCACCTGGGCCGCCCCTCCCCCACCACACCTGGGCCGCCCCTCCCCCACCACACCTGGGCCGCCCCTCCCCCACCACACCTGGGCCGCCCCTCCCCCACCCCACCAGGGCCGCCCTACCCCTACCCCCTCCCCGTAGCCCCCAGGGCAGCACCTCACCACCCACCATCCCCGCCTGCCGCCTCCTCCAGGGTGGCAGGGGACAGGGCGGGATCTGGCCTCTACCAGCCCCAGGACCCGGTACCCGCTGTCCTCTCCTGGCTGTAGCTGGGCCGGCTGCGGCCACAGCTCTGCCCCCGGGGACACCTAGAGGCCAGGCTCCAGCCCATCTCCAGGGCTCAGGGCCAGAGTGACCACCGCAGGACCCAGGAGTGACCACCAAGGGCTGCGGGTCAACCCTGGCTGACGAGGGCCAGGTCCCAGCCAGAACACACTGGGAACAGTCCCCTGCTGTCCCCTAAGCCTCAGCACACACCTGCCAGGCCCGCGGTGGCAGCTTAACAGACAGGAAACCAGGGCTCAGAGACAGCTCCCCAGGGTGGCTCCTGCTTCCTGCTGGACTGGGCCTCGGGAGAGCCGGGGGGGGGGGGGGGGGGATCCTGGGGAGGGAGGGAAAGGCCGGTGTCCTCTGCTGGGCAGGGCTGGCCAGGGCGGGCCCCCCACGGCTGCAGCCTGTGGGCCCCTGGTCCTCCGAGTCCAGCAAAGCCGCCTGCTGCCCGCCCTGCCTGCGGGGGGGGGGGCGTTCCTCTGGTTACTGCTGACCTCGCCGTCCACTCTCCCCCCCACTTGGTTCTCTTTGGGTAACGGTGACCGTGGAGTGGACTTGGGCATATTGTACAGACAGGGAGGGCCACCCCTCAGTCAGGAGCCCTTTCTGGTGGTCGAGCATGACGTGGAGTCACCCTGGCGGTGCATCCCCACGGGAACACAGGAAAGTGATGTCCATCCTCCACTGTCCTTCCTGTTCCCCTCCCTCCCCCCGCTGCTGTGAGTCAGCATCTGTGTTGGAGAGAACCTGGGGCTTTGGTTTCACGGGCCTGGCGTATTTCACTTAGCGGGAGAGTCTCCAGTTCCATCCACTGACCGGCAGATGCTCTAACTCCATTCTTCTTTGTGGCTGAATAATATTCCACTGTGTACGTGTACCACATTTCCTTTTTCTGTTCATCTGTTAAAGGGCACTTAGGCTGGTTCCAAAGCTTTGCTGTTGTGAATTGAGCTGCTATAAACATTGTGTGGCTGTGTCACTGTGGTAGGGTGACTTCAAGTCCTTTGGGTGTCTGCCAAGGTGGGATGACTCGCCAAATGGTGGTCCATTCCAAGGAGGACTCTCCACTCTGCTTTCCACAGTGGCCGCACCAGTCACAGTCCATCGGCAAAGTTTGAGTGAACCTTTCCCCGCGCCCTCCCAACATTCACTGTCACTTGTCTTTTGGGGGGGTCACTGTCACTTGTCTTTTTGGGGGGAGGTACTGGGAATTGAGCCCTGGGTGCTTGACCACTGAACCACACCCCAGCCCGCCCCCCTTGTTTTTTAAATTCAGAATCAATGTCTCTCTAAGTTGCTGAACCTGGCTTTGAACTTGTGATCCTCCTGCCTCAGCCCCCCGCCTCCCCCGGAGCCTCTGGGATTACAGGCGTGAGCCACGGTGCCCAGCAGCCATCCCGACTGGAGTGGAACGCACTCAGTGTGGTTTTAATTTGCTTTTCTGTAATCCCCAGAGATGCTGGACGTTCTTCACGTATTTGTGGATCGATGGTGTTCCTCCCTCTGTGAAGCGCCTGTTGGGTCCCTCAGCCCGTGTATTGATTGGGTTATTTGTGGGGGGGTCGGAGTTAAGTTCCTGGGGTTCTTTACATACCCCGAGAGATCAGTGCTCTACCTGAGGTACAGGTGGTAAAGACTCCCACGCCGGAGCCTCGGTCTTCACGTGAACGTTTCCTTTGTGTGAAGAAGTGTTTTAGTCCGATACCATCCCACATCCTTGTCCCCCTCTAATTAGCCCATGTACCCAGCCCTGGTGGTCAGTCTGACTCTGGGCCTGGCACCGCCGCCCACAGCATTCAGCAGTGCCTCCCGGATGAGTCCGGAAGGTCCTCTGAGTAAAGGCGGGATTTTCATGCAGAAGGACACGTGTTCTGGGCCAGATCACAAAAGGCCACAGGCGTTAGAGTAAGGAGGATGGGCCCAGGGAAAGCCACCTCCCTCCCCTCTCAGATGCCTGGCTGCCAGGTCCCGGGCTCACACTGACAGCACAATAAATGAGCCTTCCTCTGAACGCTTCTCAGCCTGCAGACTCTCAGTGGGCCACCCAGAGGCCACAGCCCGGATCAGGCTCTTTTTTGCCTGGGGCAGCCCCTGGGGCCATGTCTCCAGCTGCCAGCCTGTCCCGTCCTTTACCACTGGAGGCCCAGGAGGGGTGATGTCAGCACAGCCCAAGGCAACCCGCGGGCCTGGCCACAGGGTCAGCCTCTGGGAAGGAGCTGGAGACCTGTGGAGAGGCCTGGCCTCCATACCAACCGGGACTCACAGACGGGCCTCCTGCCCCGGCTAGAGCTGAGGGCCCGGGTGGGCTCCTCTCAAGTCTGGGCTGGGCCCCTCCTGGTCTGTCCCTTCCTCAGAGAGCCGAGGGACTCACAGTGACCCTCACAGGGACGTGGGGCAACAGAGGTGACAAAGGACATGGGCGGTGGGAGGGGACCTGCTTGGGCAAGTCCCAGAGTCCCTGGCTCCATGGATGGTGCTGGGCGACGTGGGTCCAGCCAGACGCAGGGCGGGGCTCTGTGGGGCTCCCAGGGTGCAGGGCCCCCAGTGATGGCCGATGGCCCCAGGACGTGGGACTGTGTTTAAAGCCAGTGGCTGGGCCAGGCCCCGGAGGGACGAGAGGGCAGCCTCCTGGGCCTGGAGCGGGGAGAGCCCAAGAGAGGGTCCCGGGAGCCCCCGGGCCTGGCTGTCCCCGGCCCTGTCCCCCCTGCACCTCACCCTCAGCCCGCGAGGCCCCCTCCTCCCCCAGGTCAGAGCTGCCGAGCCCCGGGTGCCCGACCCCTCGGAGCCGCCTGCTCCCCCGCGCTGCACCCACCGTCCCCGGGGCCCTGGGTGGGCAGAGGCTGCCCCGCCCCCGTCAGCCACCCAGGGGCACCCGCTGTCACCTGCGTCACCTCCCGGGAAGCTGGGGAGGAAGAGCAGCAGGAGCCCGTGTCGCCCAGCCTCCTGGGGACGGTGACAGCCGGAAGGCGGCGGCAGGTGGCAGGTGGGCGGGAGGCAGCTGAGCCCCAGGGTTCCAGCGCCATCCACCGTCTGGCGGCTGTGCCCAGGGACACCTGCCCCAGGCTCAGGGGCCTCTGCGGGCTGGGCCAGCCGTGGGGGCCAGACCCGGGCCCGATGACGGAGAGGGGGGCAGGCGGCCAAGGTCACGGGCACAGAACTCAGGGTGCGAACCTTGACGCTGCTCCCTGCGAAGCCAAAGTCCAGGACAGAAATGGACGGAGGGAGGGACCCACGGACACTGTCCACGTGGCAGGGCGGACGGCGTGGGGGCTCTCATCCCCCCAGCCCCGCCGGCCACTGGGCCCTCTTGGTCCACGTCACCGTGGCAGGGTGCCGTGACACTGGGCTTCCCTCCCTGCCCATGCTGGGCCCTCCTGTGCAACTGTAGCCTGTCCCACTGCCCGGCTCTGACCAAGTCCACTCTGCCCTGAGCCCCCAGGCCCTGGTCAGAGGAAAAGTCCAGCGATCTGGTCGTGGACCCTGCTCTGCCACACGTGCACTGTGTGACCTTGAACAGATTACTTTCCCTCTCTGGGCCACATTTCCAAGATGGAAGATTCCATTTCTGGGTTTTTTTGCTGTGTCTGAGGCCAGCCCCAGCTCAGAGAAAGCTACTTGGTGAGCACTGATTCTGGAGTCCAAGGTCTCAGTGCCACTCCTGTCCCTTCACTAAGCACCGACTGTGTGCCCAGCACTGGTTCAGAAGCCAGGAAACTGTTTCTTCGGGGAACCTCCCGTCCTTGACAGTCTGAGCCCCGGTTTCCTGTCTGCAGAGTGGCCGAGACAGCGCCTCCCTCAGGCGGAGGAGGAGCAGAAAGGAGACCACACGGGAGTGGACCAGGCCCCTCACTGCCAGGGGGGCCTCCTGCTGGGCTGTCCTCCCGCCAGGGAGGCCCGACCACTCACCTCTGCACCCGCCAAGGGCGCCCTGAGGTGCCACCACCAGGCGTGGCCGCCATCTGTCCCCACTTCCAAGTGCCCTTTAGCTCCTCCCTCACCACAGGGTCCAGGCCCCATCCTGAGGGCACAGAGGGGAGGAGGGGCAGAGCTTTCCACCCACCTGCCCTGCTCAGGGACCCTCCGTGGCTCCCTAGTGCTGCGGACAGCTGGCCTCTGAGGCCAGCCTGGGCCCGGCCTTCACTCCTCCCTCCCAGCCCCCAGCAGCAGCCCCTGCCTGGGGCGCCCCGTCTTCTCCTGGCACAGAGGGACGGCCGTGCAAAGGCCCCAGGGTGAGGGGGCCTCCCCGTCCCTCCTGTCCTGCTCTCCCTGTTGGGGCCACCCCTCCCTGGTCCCCACGCCACTCCCCCTCTGGTTCCACGGTGGCCCTGGGCTTTTTCCTCTGGAATCCACTCTGGTTCCTCGGCCCCGGGCGCCCCTGGGCTTCAGTGCTGATTTGTCACAAGTGGTCACTGGACGCAGAATTTGTCACCTGCATAATGAAAGGAGAATGAGCCTTTCATGAGAGCCTCCAGGCCTGGGGACAAGGTGTGGGGACCGAGTGGGGGGAAGAGGGGACGGCCACCAGGCTGCCCCCTCGGGGCCAGGCCCTGGGGGTATGAGGCACCCGTCACGCTGGCAGCTGGTCCCTTGGGGTTCAAGTCACAGAAGCAGAAAGGAGGCTGGAGGGGCCCAGGCGGCTGAGGCCCACAGAGGGAGGCCACGGTGGGCAGGGGGGCTCTGTCCCCGGCCGCGCCCTTCCTGTCCAGGAATCCCCAGGAGCGGGGCAAGTGGGGTCCCCCTCCAAGGAGCTGCCTCGGCCCTTCCTGCTGCCCCTCCAGGGCGGGCTCTGGGCCCCCTCTGACAGGGCCTTGGTGACACCCACCGCCCGGGGCCTCAGCTTCCCCCCACGTCGGGCACCGCGCCCACCCCCTCCCCCGCCCACTGCGGCTGGCACCCGGGAGGGGCCGCCTCCAGTCTGAGAGTCTGTCTCAGCTGAGCCGCTCGCCTCCTCCGCCCCCGCCGCCAGCGTCCCTGTCCCTCGGGGCTGGGACCAGCTCCTCCTCCCCTGGGCTCTGGGGACACAGCAGAACCAGGGAGCGGCCGGTGAGGGGCAGCCAGAGAGGGCTCGCAGGTAGCTCCCGGGGCTCGGGAGCTCTGAGGCTGGCCCCCAGCACCCAGCACCACACCCCCAGCACCCCAGCACCCCAGCACCCAGCACCACACCCCCAGCACCCAGCACCACACCCCCAGCACCCAGCACCCAGCACCACACCCCCAGCACCCAGCACCACACCCCCAGCACCCAGCACCCAGCACCACACCCCCAGCACCCAGCACCCAGCACCACACCCCCCAGCACCCCAGCACCCCAGCACCCAGCACCACACCCCCAGCACCCAGCACCACACCCCCAGCACCCAGCACCCAGCACCACACCCCCCCAGCACCCCAGGGCCCAGTCCCAAGCCCCCAGCACTCCAGTGACCAGACCTGAGCCCCCAGCACCCCGATTCTCTACCTCCCCAGCCCTCCAGCCCCCGAGACCCAGCCCCGTGAGTCCCCCCCACCCTCTCGACTCGCCCCTGCCTCCCCCAGATCTCCTCCATCTTCCTGCCCCGAGCCCCTGGGGCCGCCCCGGTCACCCTCCGTCCCTTCCTCCTGCCGCCCAGTGCAGCCCCCTCCCACCCTCTGTGGAAGCCGCCTCCTCCAGGAAGCCTCCGGGCTCTGCCGGGGACCTGGGTGGAGATGCCCAGGCGCTGGACCCAGGATGACCTGGCTCCTCTCCCTGTCTGTGTGGCCTGGGAAAAGTCCTGCCCTGGACGGTCTCAGGACGGGCAGATGGGCATGTCCCCAAGTCCCCAGTCCCACCCCAGGGAAGGCTGTGGCCGAGGGACGGGGCAAGCTGGGGACGGGGGTGAGGCTGCAGGGACCCCATCCTGGGCGGCCTGCAGCAGAGGGGCCCGCGCAGCAGGACCAGGGCCGCTGGACCAGGGCCCCTGCCTTTGGGCGTCCATGGGCCCTGCTCCTGGCAGGCCCCCTTCCTGCTCCAGGGAGTCGCTTCTCGGGACGTTCGTTTGAAAGAGATCGGTCTCCAAGTGCTGGAGAGGCGACTTGGTTTCTCGTTTTGGAGAAGGAAGAGCTTGGACAGCAGTCACGCGGAGGCCCCGGAAACGAAGAGCTCCTCTGTCCTTGGCCGGAGACTTGCCGGAGCTTGTCCTCTTGCTGTGACAGCAGAAAGCAGGTGTGCACAGGGGAGGCCCAGCCACCTGACAACGTGCACCTGCGTGCACACAACCACACACGGGCACACGGCACCCCCACCCACCCAGCCCTCGCTCAGCGCCCTGCCTGCGACTCCCCTCCCCCCAGCCCCCTCGGTGGTCCAGGGAGACCCTGCCCCAGCCCTCCATTCCCCAGGCGTCCTGCTTTGGGACCAACAGGGGTTGCCTTCCACACCGATTCCAACGGTCCTCCCCGACCCACCCGACCAGGCACAGGTTCCACATGGAACACGCCCACTCACTCAGGAACTTCCACAGGCTCCCTACAGCCTGGCCAGTAGGGAGCTGAGAGGTGGCCGGGCCCGAGGCTGCGCAGCTGGCAGGCAGCAGCCCGCGCAGGACGGCATGCGGACGACCGGCGATGGCACCGGCGATGGCCTCCAGTCTGTGTCGGAAGATTTCTGGATTCCACAGTGGAGGTGGGATCCCCGGGAAAGTCACGTCTGACACCCCGAGGCGGGAGCCCAGGTTCCTTGGAAACTCCTCCATGTGGAGCCAGAAGTGTCCCCAAGTCCCACCCGGTCCAGCCCCTCTGGTGCCGCGGCTCAGCCTGGACCGCGCACCTCCAGGCCTGGGGAGCCTCCACCCGCGCTGGTCCCCGTGGAGGCTGGAGTCCTGCCCGCTGCCCCCAGGGGCCTTCCGCCTGGGGGGGGGGGGGGGCTGGGTCTTGGCCCTGGAGCTCTGACCGCCCTCTCCTGGCCACTCCTCAGAGGTCCCGTCAGGGTGCCCTCCCCAGGTCAGGCCTCTGGCCTGGGCCAAGGCCTCGCGGGCCACGCTGAGCACATCGGCCAGAGCCACTGGACAGGCGCGCACAGGAAGGAGGGCCGTGGCCTTCCAGCTGAGGAAGGAGCCGGGGACAACCCCGCTGGGCAGCCCCTGGGGACGGTGGGGTGGGGCCGAAGAGCCCGCACTGAGGTGGGGAGCGGTGAGGTCCCCGAGACCAGGAGGCCTGGGGGCTGGGGGCCAGGGAGCCGGGGAGGTGCGCAGCGCCCTGCAGAGCTCGGAGGCCCGGCCCCAGACTGGACTCTGGCTCCTGTCCACCCTCCACGGCCTGGGCCGCCCTCTGCCAGCACAGGCAGCCCGGGGGATGCTCCAGGGTCCCCTGGGCCTTCCGCCCCTCTGCCCCAGCTCCCAGGGCCACGCGGCCCTGTTCTGCCCAGGGGGGAAGGGAGACGACCCGGAGGTCACCAGCGCCTGCAGGACAGCTGGGTCTGTGCCCAGGTGGAGCAGAGGCGGCCCCAGGGCGGGCAGCGGGGCCTGGGGGGGGACAGGGAGGACAGGGGCTCACGGTGCCTGTGGAGCCACGCAGAGACCCTGAAGGGTGGAGGTCTGCCCGAGTGGGCGGGTCCGTGGTCCTGCGGGCTGTCCCCTCAAGCCTACAGCTGGGCTGGGGACGGAGCGGTCCTGGGCCCCTCCCCCCATCAGTGGGACAGCCTCCCAGGAAGGTCACCCTGAGAGCAGAGCCAGCAAGGGCCAGGACGGACAGCAGGGGACGCAGGGGACGGCCAGGCCTGCCCGGGGCTCCTCCCGCGAGGGTGGGCGGAGACGGACGCCAGCGCAGCCCCAGGGACAGCCAGGGCCTGGCCCAGATTCCCTGCTCCTGCCCCAGTTCGGCGGCCGCTTGCGGCCCCGCTGCCGGCCTACTTCTCAAGGAGGCTCCGTGGCCCCAGAGGCCCAGGCCGGCCTCCCCCCCGCAGCCTCCAGCCAGCCCGGAACCCGCAGGGGTCCAGCAGGACCCTCAGGGACCCTGCTCCCGACAGGGGCATCGTGAGGTCACGTGGCCCCTCTGACATGGGGCCCCGACACACCAGGGGCCACTCCCCATGCCCCACACTGGCAACTGTCCGGAACCTTCCAGATCACTGCTCCAGGGCCGGCCGTGCTCACGGCGTCAGGGCTGGGCTTTGGGCTCCGAAAACAAACCTGAACCCTGAGACTCAGCCCCGGGCGAGGGGGTTTCAGGTGCCACTGTGGACGCAGGGAAGGAGCCTGCTTTCCCCTGAGGGCAGCGTGACATGGGCCCCTGGGTGGCACCAGGGGGTCAGGAACGGCCTGGACCGCAGCCCAGAGGGCCTTGCAGGGGAAGGACCCCCATGGGCACTGACCCCAGCCCCGAGGAGACAGGTCAAAGTGACAGCAGGACCCCACGTGGGCAGAGGGGACAAGTGGCCATGGGGACCCTGGAAGTGAAAGGGATTATTCGTCTGTCCCTGAACTTGCCACCTGAGGGACGTCCCCTGCTGTCTCCATGTACGGCTCCAGCTGCAGGGGACATGGTGGCCTCCGTGGGCTCCTGAGACCAAGGGAGGGTGGACACCTGCCAAGGCCGTCCAACGTGGCTGGGAGGATTTCGAGGCTGACCCGGCCTCCTCCTGCCCCATGTCCTCCCCCTAGGTCTCTCCCGTCCCCGCCAGCCCCTTCCCGACAGGTCCCAGTCCTGTCATTAGCGCTAATCACTGCCATCAGCACAGCGGGCCAGGGCCTGGTGCCCACCCCAGCGCCCACCAGCCTCAGGTGCCCCCAGCGCCTGGCCCTGGCAGGTGGAGAGGGCTGGGGGCGGGCAGGTGGCGCCGGGCCTCCCTGTGTCCAGGGCCTCCACACAGGCTCCTCACCCCCTGACTGCCCCGCCCCGCAGGGCTGTCCCCATCCTGGGGGTCGGAGTCTCCTCGACCAAGGAGGCCGGCTGTCCCCTGATTCCCTCCCGCTGCGTCATCTGCCAGTCACCGGGGGCCCCAGCACCCACCTCCTGCCCAAGGTCTGGCAGCCTCGCTCCTCCTCCTCCTCCTCCCAGCCCTCCTCCCTCTCTGCCTCCCCCTGCGGCCTCCTCCAGCCTCTGTCCTCCCCTCCCCTCGCCCCGCCCCACCCCCACCGGCCCCCTCTCCAGGCCAATTAGACTGACTCTGGCGGAGCCTGGGAGCCGGCTGGGCACCGCCTGGAATGTTAATGCCCTGCCAGCCTCCCGGCCTCACCCCTCCTGCCTCCACAGACGGGGAGCAGGGAGGAGCCAGGCTTCTGCTGCCCCTCCCCGCCCTGCAGGCCCCTCCCCTTCCCCCCACCTAGCACTGGCTGTCACCAGGGTCCAAGGCTCAGAGGGGACAGCACAGGGCTGGGAGTCCGGAGCCCTGGGCCCCGGCCAGGCCCCTCTGTGGGTCTCAGTGTGCGGGTGGCCTGTCACCCCAGGCCCCTCTGTGGGTCTCAGTGTGCGGGTGGCCTGTCACCCCAGGCCCCTCTGTGGGTCTCGGTGTGCGGGTGGCCTGTCACCCCAGGCCCCTCTCTGGGTCTCGGTGTGCGGGTGGCCTGTCACCCCAGGCCCCTCTGTGGATCTCGGTGTGCGGGTGGCCTGTCACCCCAGGCCCTTCTGTGGGTCTCGGTGTGCGTGTGGCCTGTCACCCCAGGCCCCTCTGTGGGTCTCAGTGTGCAGGTGGCCTGTCACCCCAGGCCCCTCTGGAGACTGAGCAGGCTGCTGTGGTCACTTCATGGCTCCAGAGGTCCCACGTGGTGTCTGTCTTGACTGGCATTGGCCAGGCCAGGCCCCAATCAGCTCCTCACCTCTCACCCGGCCCCTGCCTGCCCCAGAGGCACAGCGTTCCTGTCTTCAAGGGACCCCTTGGTCTGCCTGTGGGTGGTGACCACCAGGGGCCACCAGGACTCAGGTAACCCCAGTCCCGCCAGTCAGCCTCATCCCAGCTGAGGGGTGCCTCCTGCTGGCCGGAACAGAGGTGCCCTAGCTGCCCCCACCCCTCCCACTCCCATTCCCATCTGAACCCACACAACCCCAGCCTCAAGGTCCTCAGAACCTGACAGGTGCCGATAAGGCGGCAAGGACACTGATGACCCACCCTGCTCAATAGTTTCACGGGTACTCATTACTTTTCATGGCTCATTCCCACTCATTACCAGGCGATAGGTAAACCCGCAGGCAGCCTCTGAGTGTCCCCACCAGAGCACCCCACAGCTGCCACAGCCCACGTGGGATCCCAGAGGGCACTCCAGCAGGCCCCCGGGGGACATCATTATCAAGCGCTCACATGCTGAACTCTGGGGACACGTGGGGGGCCCACTGGGCAGTCCTCTTGTCTCACTCTACAAACAAGTAAACGGGGAAATAGAGCGTCCAGAGTGGCCCGGGTTAGCAGGGAAACACAAAAGTGAGGAGGTGACTGGGGCAAAGCCAGGGAGAGGGCTCGGGGAAGACACCTCAGGGGAGGTGACACTGAGCTGGGGCCCAAATGACAGGAGACCAGCACGAAAGGGATTGGGGTGTACACTGAGGGGAGGCCCGTGCCAAGACCCTGGGGCTGGAACATGTGGCTGTTGGAGAAACGGGGAGCCATGGTGGCTGGGCAGGGGGCAGGGGCGCAGTCCAGGTGGCAGCTGGCCATGCAGAGCTGGTTCTGGTGTCCCCGAGTGCATGACTGGGGTGTGCGCCATCTGTCGTCCACACCTTCGGGGACCTTCCCCTTTCCCTCTGCACCCCGCCCCCGGCTCCGTACCTGGGACCCTTTGGGTGCCTTCTCTCCACCAGGGCCGCCTCCTGCAGCCGCTCTGAGCTGAGCGGTGGGTCCTTCTCGGTTCTGTCCAGTTCTGCAGCTGCCTGACCCACCCCACTGCCAGGAAGGGCGAGGGCAGGGCCCCTCCGGGGCAGGGGAGCGGCTGGGACCCACCGGGCGCCTCTCGTCCTGCGCCTCTTGTGAGCTGAGCCGTCTGCTCCCTTCTCAGGCTACGGTGGCCTCCCAAGAGCCCCCTGTCACCTGAGCCTGGGTGTCACCAGCAAAGCGCAGAGCATCGCAGGTGGGAATCGCAGGCCACGGAGGGGGACGACCCACCGAGAGAACAGGGTCCCTGAAGGACAAATGGACCAGCGGGGGCGGCACTCGTGGGGAAGGGGACCTGCCACCCACCCGCAGAGGGCTTATCCTTCTCCAGGAACGCAGCCGGGAGTCCGCGGGCCAGCGGCGCCCACCCGAGGGTCCAAATGGAACCCCAGGTGAACAGAGGTCATTCACAGCACCCAGACAGAACCCAGCGCCAGGGGACCTCACAACCGCGAGGGGACATCACAACTGAGTGGCTGCGGAAAGACCCAGGCGTGAGCGTGGCCGTTACCGACCCCGTCCCTGTCCACGGAGGCTCCTGGGAGAGTCCAGAAGGGAGCTCATGGGGTCCCGTGGGGTGCTGGTCACCTCTGTCCTCATCAGGAGGCCGTCCTGGCCACGGTGACCTGGCAGAATGCCCACCTCTGGGATCCGCCAATGCACAGTGACGTCCACTGGATGAATTTCAAAAATACAGTCACTTCAAAAACACAGCAAAGTGCCCCCCAAGCTTGAGAGTGACAGCCGGGGGCGCCCCAGCCCACAGGACCTTGGCATGTGACCTTCCTGACTTCTGTGCGACCCCAGGGCTTCACGGATCGCCACCATCACTCCCTTTTTCAGTTCCACATGGCAGTGGAGTGCAGCAGAATGCACACACGCAGAGCATGGCTCACTCCCTAGGTCCCCTCTGCGGCCACCTGCGGTTACCCCGGTGCTGTTTACAATGAAGCCAGGAAAGTCACTCAGGGCTGCTGTCCTCCCGAGGCACCCCCTCCCTTCCCTTTGTTACCCTTTGTCTGGTCCAATCGATTCCTGTTATTCCCTCCCCAGCCTCCCTCGTTTGGGGTCAGAGAAAACATTCAGCCTCTGGTTTTTTGGAATCGGCTTCCTTTACTTAGCGTGATATTCTGCAGTTCCACCCATTTGCTGGCAAATGCCATAATCTCATTCTTTATGGCTGAGTAATATTCCATTGTGTATATGTACCACGATTTCTTTACCCATTCATCCCCCGAAGGACACCTAGGTTGTTTCCACTTGGCTATTGTGTGCTGAGCTGCTATGAGCGTGGATGTGGAGATTGCTACCATTTTAAATGCACATGGGACTCTACCCTGTCTTCCTAGGGGCGTGTCTTTCGCACACTTTGTGGGGGCTGGGCCTGGGCACTACTGATATTCGAGGCTAATAAGTCTCCGTTCTGGGGCGTCCTGTGCTCTCTGGGTTCTCCCTGGGGCCTTTCTCACTGGGACAAGAGAAGACCTTTAGCAAATGGAGATCCCTGCTGGGAGCCATTAGCCAAGTAGGTATGACAATTTCCTTGCCAGCGTACCCCATGTTGCAGTGACATTGAATGTACGTGACCTTGCTCAAGGACCAAGGCAGATTAGGGTGTTCCCGGTTTTAAGAAAATCGTGTTTAGGGCGTTCCCAGTTTAGGTTCCAGGTTTAAGGTTTAAGATTATTCCTGCTGGGAATAGGGCGTATCCTGCTGCCTGAGTTCCCCTTGAGTTCTCACGGGATTCAGACAATATATTTTGGAGATAGAAGCCCAGTGGAGGGGGATTTGGGCAGAGAACGTGGATTTCCCCAGAACGTGATTGTAGACGGCTGGTGTGAGTTCGGGAATAAAGAGTTGCTGTTTGAATCTACAAGCTGTGTGGTGGCTCGTGATTGTGTGCCCAGCCAGACTGCAGCAGATCCCGATGACAGGACAGGTCCATGTGTGCTTCCCAGAGTTTGGCACGTCATTAACTCCGATGTCACCCACCTGAGGACTTACCCAAACTGCCCACAAGTGAAACTGGCTGGACCGTCTGACCAGAGAGGCACAGCCTGACCACCCCGTGCTGAGGTCGCCGTGAGACTCGATGGTCAAGGAAGTTTGTTAACATTTTCCGGACCTAACAACCACTCAGCTGCTGGGGGAATGCCAGCCTCGTCCTCTGAAAGTCCTGTCTGCAATCAGAGAGCCCACCCTGGACACGTCCCGGTCACGTCTCCTCCCTGCCTGTGAGTCCCCGTGCTGTCCTTGGATGCGCCCCTACCTGTGACCCTGGATGGTGTCAGGCTGAGCTCCCCTCTTTAGGGACCTCTTTGGATGCCCACATCTTCAGTGACAACCAAAAATATCTCCAGACATGACCCACCATCCCCTCCGGGTGAGGTCACCAGATAAGGTGCAGGACAGTGGCTGATCCCACCACCTGGGCGCACTTAACCAGCTTCTCCTGTTTATCTGAAATTCCAGTGGAACTGGGCGCCCAGCCACCTGTGGCCTCGAGGGCAACGTCCCCGGCTGAGAACCGGAGCTGTCTCTTGTCCCTGGCTCCCTGGCAGGGTCCCCTCCATCTCTTTCTTCTCCTGATGGACACGTTGGTGGCAAGCGCAAGGTTTTCTGCTGCAAGTGACAGAGACCCTTGCTCAGCCTCGAGGGGCCAGGTCTGCCCGGCAGGGAGCGCGGAGCAGGCTGGAGCCCAGGTGCAGGCGGCAGCGTGGCCGGGTCACCCTCCTTCCGTGCGCTCTTCCCGGCCCCGGGTGGGCATCGCAGGCGCCAGGCCACAGTCACTCCTGGGCCGTCCAAGGGCCCTCCCTAGTGATTCTCGGCTGCCATTGGTCATTCGCCCTCTCCCGACCTATCACGGGCAGGGGGTGTGGCTGCTGTGGCCACGCCCCTCACCCCCTGAAGCCCGGTGGTGGCTGCAGACTCTGTTGGGACAGACTGGGTGTGGGTGACTGGGTGACGGTTGGCAGCCAACCCCCGGGGCCGATTTCCCACTTTGGCCTGTTGCCTCCAACGGTCCAGCGACACCTGGGAGGGCTCTTTCACACCCATGGTGTGCTCTTGGGTCTGTGGGCCTCGAAGCCAGGAATTGTTAGGCCCTCAGGCCCCGTGACCGGCACCCTGCGACGCTGCTTCCTCTCTCCTGCTGCCGTGCCTCAGGGCCTTCGCACCTGCTCTTCTCCTTTCCAGATCCCACATCCTTGGTTTCCTCTCTCAGGTCCCTTTGCAAACATCCCTCTATGCCAATGGGCCACCCCTGAGCACGCGTCCATTGGGGCCCTGCCTCCCCAGCCTGGGGACCCCCCCCTCAAGTGCTGCCAGAGCCCACATCACCTGGTTCCTGTGACCTGTGTTCACTGACCTCTCCTCTGGCTTGAAGGGCAGCCCCTTGAGGGCAGGGCCCCGTGTCCGGCGGCTGCTGTGTCCACAGGCCTCCTGGTGCGCTCGGTGCCCCGCCCCAGCTCTCGTGCTCACTGGCTGAGCTAACTGGGACTGGGGACAGGTGTGCCTTGGCGCAGGGGTGACACCCAGCCCCGAGTCCACACCAGGAAACGCAGACCCTCAGCCTTCCCCCTTCCCTGCCTGTTTGGCAGCGAGCCCAGCCCCCGGCGGTTTCAGTGCCCCCCCCCCGTGCCAGGCGCGGGAGACGGTCTAGTCTGTTTGTGGCAGAAGCTGAGACAGGACTGGGGACTGGAGGCCGGAGGCCACTGATCACCTGCCGGTGGCCCCTAGTGGCCGACGGTGGCCCCAGGGACTCCCCGGCTGCGCTGGGGTGGGATAGGCTGAAGTCGGAGGTGGGCTGAGGACCCGGAGGCACCCGGCCCTGAGGGGAACGGCCAGAGGAGGAGGCCTGGGCCCGATTCCTGCCCTCAAATCGAAGTGCCCGCGGCCGGCAGAGGCCCCCAGTGGGACCCAGGCCGCAGGGCAGAAGGCGCCAGGCTCGGGGTGTGGACACGTTAAAAGGCCTGAGCCCCTGGAGAGGCCACGTCTGTGGAGCTTGGGTCCAAAACGGGAGCGTCTGGCGGCACCCACCCCAGTGGCCGGGCTGAGCAGGGACGCGGTGACAGATGACAGCTCTGTCTTCGTTTCTCGCGGGACCCTGTGCCGGTGCTTGTCTTCCTGTTTTGATTTTCAGGTGAGGACGCTGAGGCACCGGGTCCCACACATCGTCCAGTGTCCCCAGCTGGTCAGCTCAGGGCAGGAGGCCAGCCCACTGCAGGGTCCCGGAGGGCGGTGTCATCCTTTGGATTTTTGCCAGTCTCAAGAGTTACAAGTGACAGTTTGTTGTCTTCTTTTGACTTTCTCTATTGTCACTTTATCAGGTAGGATTAGACATAGATACAAGAAAAGTGTCCTGAGCCAGAAACGTCAGACCCAGAGGAAGCCACCGGGGCTGGCTCCTGGCTTCCCTCCCGCGGTCCTCCCCCAGGTCTGACCACTGGACGGTGTGTCACTCCGCGCCTGCCTCCTCATCGTCCAGCGTGGCTGCTCAAGACCCAACCATCATGTCTTACCTTCCAGTCGTGGGAAGAAAGAAGGGGTAAAGGAAAACGAAGAGCACCCACCAGCCGCCCGCCCCTTCCCACAGACCAGGACCTGAGCACCTGGCCCCCCTGTGTGGGGCACTGGAGAATGTCTTCATCCCAGGGGACTACTCACCCGTCTTCCTGTGGGAGAGGCCGGTTCTTCCCGGGGACACTCCTTGCCTTGGCCATCTGCCCAACCGTGCTGGGCTCCGAGGACTTGTGTCACAGTCCAACAGGAGAGCCTCTGATGGCCCCGAGCGGCACCTGGATCGGTTCTGTGCCCGGCGCTGGGGTGGCCAGAGGCCAGTGTGCAGGGACCCCCCAGAGGCCGGTGGCCATTGAAAGACAAAGGCTGGAACTGTGTGTCTTGCTAAGTCCCTGGGGACAGCGACACCCCGAGGTCGGAGCTCACCCCGCAGTTGGCAGCTGGTCCTCCTGCTGTCGCTCACTCCCCTTAGGCCCCTGGGCAGCCCGAGCACCGTGGCTCTCCTGCATTCAGCAGGAGACAACTAATTTATGTAGCTCCAGAGCCTGCACTTAGCCAGGCCAGACGACCCCATTCTTCCTGTGACAGGGGTTCCAGGCCCTTCTCCGTGGTGGCATGCTCTGCTGAGGGCACGAGTCATCTCCGCCATGGAGAGTCACTCTGCATTGACCGCAGCCTCTCTGGGTGGAGTCCAGACAGTAGGGACAGGCACAGAACCCTCACCTCCTGTGCCCAGACTCTATGCTCCTATTAATGTGGCCATGGCTGCATCCACCCTAGAAATAGCTTTGTCACTCAGTGACTTCCCTGAGCCCAAGCCTGCCACAGCCTCCAGGAGTCCAAGTGACATCCACAACCCCTACCTGAACGAGTTCAAGCAGAGACACCACCCCACGGGCGGGCCAGGCCTCCTGGCTCCGTTCTCCTCCCTTGAGCCACCCCACAGTCTCTCCTCAATGCAAGGATCACAGGACTCTGCACCCCACCCCCATCCCCCCACGCCAGGTACCACAGTGACATCCAGAGGAAGGCCTCTGTCCCTTCCCCCAAAGCCCAGGGTTGTGTCTGCTGGCTGGGAGGGGACTGGGTCCAAGGGCCATTCTTGAACCAGTCACTAGCCAGGGCGAGCCGGGCCGCGATGGCACAGGACGCCCGCGGGCCAGTGCTGGGGGAAGCCAATGGGGGCTCAGCAAGGGCGGGGGAGGGGAGAAACAGCCCCGGGGACCCCAGCAGGTACCGGGGCTCGGGGCCTGGGAGGGAAAAGGGCCTTCCTGGCCCAGGCGAAGGGGCTGGGAGGGCAGGACGGGGTGCCGCAGTGCCCGCCGTGCCCACAAAGGTCGCTCTGGCTGCTACGTGGAGAACAACTGTGTCCAGGACGGAGGCAGAGAGGCCGGTGGAGACTGCGGCCACCCAGGTGAAGGGGTCCACGGGAAGGTGAGGGGACTTCACGGTGCAGTCACGGGACCCAGAGGGGGAGGGGAGCCTGCGAGGAAGACCCCGCCCTGGCTCGGCTGCGGGTCCCTCCTGTGGGACAGGAGGTGGGGCTCCAGGGGCCCGGGGTGGGGCGGGAGCTGGGCCCTGGGCCTGCGGCTGGTGTTGGAGACCCGGGAGCCGCTGGAGCAGAACCACTAAGTGGGACCCCTGTGCCGTCCTTCCTCTGGCTGCCGGAAGACCCCGAGGGAAGCCAGCGGCCACCGGCCAGGCTGAGCTCCTGGCCTGGATCCTGCTGCCCGCCTCCCCATGCCCGCTGGCCCAGCCTGGGGTCCCAGGAGGGCTGGGCCCAGGTGGCTCCACTTCCCAGAGGTGGACACTGAGGCTCTGGGCCCAGGGAGCCCTCCCAGCCCGAGCGGCCCTCTCCAGTCCCCCTGGTGCTCAGCCCGGCCCTGGGCTTGTGCCTTGGCCTGGGAGAGGCCGTCGAGCCTTGTGGGGTGGAGAGGCCCGCCTGGCCAGGCGTGTGTGGAGCGGGGATGGGGGACCCCGCAGCTGGCCCTGCCTGTGTCCCTCAGCGTCTGTGGTGCCTTCGTTGCCTGTGCACACCCTGGGGCTGGAGACCAAGAGACCAGGCCTCCCCTGGGTGCTGCCTCCAGATGCAGGCTCAGGGCCGGGCGCAGCAGAGGCTTGGTCCCTGGGGAGGTCCACGGGCCACTCCCATCCACCCACAGTGGGAAGGGGTATATATTCCCCAAAGATAAACTTAAAATAACCTTTTTTACTCTAAACTTTTTAAATTTGGATTCATCAGGACTTAGTGCTGCGGAAAGGCATATGTGTCCAAAAAATGTACATAAGCCCAAGGTACTTTGGAAGGATATTCTAACAGGACAATGGAAAGGTCCTGACCCAGTAATTGTCTGGAGTCGGGGGTCTGTTTGTGTGTTTCCACAGGGAGAGAAGCTTGTGTGGGAGAGAGAGGCTTGTGGAAAGCAGCTGGTGGCAGTTGAGGCTCTGAGGGTTTTTCCTGAGAGGCTGTTTTGTTTGGCGTGTGTGGTTCTAAAAATAAAGTTAGTTTCTTTTGACAAGTGGCTCCTGATTGTGCCCAGCCAGACTGCGGCACACAGTGTAGCCACCAGGCCCGAGCCGGAGCTCAGGAACCCCCAGAGGTGGCGAGTGGCAGCTGTCGATGGTCCTGGTCCTGCCCAGACGCTAAAAAGCCAAACCGCCCCCTCTTGCGGCATCATCTCTGGAGACTTATCCCCCGAAGAGTGGGCTCATCCCGCCGTCTGCCCGCCACCCGCAGGCTCCCTTATCCCCGAGCCCAGGTCCACCCCTGAGGTGGCCAGGCCTGGACAGCTCACATGCCATCCAGCTGAGTGTTGGAAGTTTAGGAATCGAGCTAACAAACCGTTAGGACTGTTGGTCGCGTGGACCTTGGCGGGGACCTAGGGAGAGCTGGTGGCCCAGGACAGCGAGACCCCACCCGGGCCCACAGCACACTCTTCTCTCTCCCAGCGCCGTCCCACAACTGCAGGGGCACGTGAACGCCTACGACCCCACGGTCCCTCTGCACCTGCCCACACAGCCGCCCCTTGGCCAGCTTCCTGCCGAGGGGTGTCCCCACGGTGGCACAGGCCCCGAAGGCAGGTCTGGGGCCAAGCAGTGACGATCTTGGGGTCCCGGGTATTAATAGAACAACCCACATGGGTATGTTGTGGGCACCCAGCCTCAGGGCCCAGGGAGGGGCTGGGTCAGCCCCTTCTTAGGAGCCCAGCTTGATCAGGGCCCTGCTGACCCCAGTGCCACCCGCATCCTCTCCCCCATCGCTGGTCGGTCACTCTCAGGAGCACTATCTGGACGGCCTGGCCAGCCTCCCCACGACCTGGGAGGCTGCCCACCCCCGATTCCCTGGCCTCGTTATTCTTGCTTTAAATGAAAGATTTGGAAATCTTAGAAATGACCAGACTTTCAGCAGCAAGGGTCAGGATGGGCCTCACAGGGCCTGAAAATTGCCATCGGAGTCCAAGGCTCAGGGCTGTCACTGCTGGTCTCCAGGTAGGACGCTGCACAGAGCCCTCCCTGGGACCCGGCCCCCATCCTGGCCT